ATCCAATCCTTGAGGAGAGGGGGGACCGATTCCTTTCCATGAATTGCACTACTTTTGTATCATGTCAAGGCGTGGCAATTTGAAAGATCTTGGCCAGGACTTTTGCGAGATCAAATCGGAGTCTAGGGCGTTGCAGTGAGCTGTGCTTAGAGGTGAGGTTCGAGGACACGGGCTACTGGGTATGTTACGAGCTCTTCAATTGCAAAACTCATGACGAGTTCCAATGTGGCTGCGTCCTTTTGTAAACCTGACCTCAAGCACCATGGCTATACTTGCTCATCGCTCTCAACTTTGGACCCCAAATCCAAAAACACCACGGTACCAATGTCAAGGCGACACTCACGAATCCCAGCAAAGAAGTCGCCCATGATATCCCCAAGCTATGGTACATCTGGTCTACAAACAGTGGGAACGCGAATCCCACTGTGTATCGTAGCAGAGTGTTTGCAGCCATTGCTGAGGCGCCGTAGAGAGGACCATACGTGTCCATAAGGTACATGGTGCAGGACATGAAATCGAGAACTTGGCCTATGCCAAACAATGCTTCTGCGATGATGGGGACGATCCAATGAATGGAGCGTCGTGCGGTCCAGGCGAACAAGAAGAGGGCGATTGGGATCAGCATCGAACCGGGGAAGGCAGTGAAAAGCCGATACTCTGGCGGGGGCGTGGAGGCTGCGCTTTTTGTTTTGGACTCTCCTTGGGCCCTGGGATGTCGCTTCTTCCAACGCAAAGCCAGAGGAGCGTAGACGAATTTGCTGTTGATGATGATGGATAGTACAGCGACAAGAATGCCGACGCCAAGTCCGAGGAAGGTCAGACCTTGTGAGCCTAGATCGAATCCATAGACATCCTCAAAGACGGTTGGAAATGCCACGAAAAAGGAGTACTGGACAGCGAAGTTGAAGGCGATGTAAAGGCTGAACAGACCGGCAATGGGTTCGCTTAACAGCATGTGGACTGGTCGAGTCAAGCTAGTGCGGATGAATTTCTTGATTGCATTTGCGATATCAATCTTTGACGTGGGCAGCCTCTCTGCAGCACTTTTGTCGGCTCGGTCCTCCAGGATACATTTCTGTTTGTTGTGGATCAGCACGTGATGTTGACATCCATGTAGAGAGAAGGACGAGTAGCACCTTGTATGTCTCCTTCATGAAATAAACCGGCGGGAAAAACACCACGGCGAAGAATAATGTGACCCATTGAGTCCAGCGCCAACCCAGCGATTGAACTACGAAACCACCAATAAGGGGTCTGTAACCGAGTTAGCATTCCGAAGGAGTATCTACGTCTAGATATACTAACCGGTGATCTCATAGTGCGTGGTGTGGAAAGGAGAGAAGAAGACCGCAAGAGATGATCGATCAGATTCAGATACCCGAAGCGATATAGGGCCGATAACGTGACGCTATCTTTACTTCTTCGAATCACGAATTCTTTCCGGGCATCGTCTCTTCTTTCTCCCTTGGGTCGATATCCTTCTTTGTGTCCCCATCTGATTTGACATCGACACATACGATGCACTAGTCTCAAAGGCTCGCTACTATAAGAATGTGCGAAACATCACCTGGCACAAACCCTCATAACCCGAACATCGACGAGGCTGCAATAGCGTGCTGAGATTGACTTTCCACTTTTGATGATATCGAGAACCAAATCCATATCCAAGGTAATAGATATGTTTGTGTCTCTTCCTCTGAAAGAATTCTCGCCCTTTGATCCTTGATATCAAACCATTCGCCATCACTATCGCCACTATATCGTGTTGCACTCAATATGGGCAGCAAAGGTGGCACGATACGAGCCACATGATTTTCGCATGGCCATAAATCCCAAAGTCTTCTAGATTCATGTGTTCAGAGTGTCCGCCTTGTTTACTTTCTCAAGCATCAATTTCAACAGAGTCATCGGTATTAACATTTCACATTCATCAACTCAATCAGGTATATCGAGATCGAACTACCTGCCGACGTACATTCATCTCAAAATCCTTGATCGCGATGCCATTTCTCTTCCCATCCAGGGAAGAACGGACTCTCATCGAGAGTGTGCGGCTCCCAGTCCTTCTCAATCAGCCCTTTCTCAATCTGTTCCCTCTCCATTCTCTCCAGCTCAGGAAGTGCGACATGCTCAACATGCCACGTATTCTTGTATTCCATCAAACTCTTCTTTCCATCCCTGCAAATCTTCAAGAGCAGAGATGGGATGTACGGCTCGTCTCGGAAGCTCTCGATAGGAGTGAAGAGTGCCTTGAAGTTGAAGACAATGGCGCCGGAAAGAGGAAGACGGCGGAGAGTCTGCCAGTCAACGCGGAGGTGACATTGAGAAGGCGTTAGGTCTGGTATTTGTGTTGCCCGTAGAGCTTCGTGGGGAGAGCCTGGGGGCATGTAGAGGGGCTGGTCTACTTCAAGACCCCATGACCCGCGTTGGATACATTTGTCCGTTGGCTTCTTTGAGAAGTAGCTATAGTATCTTTAGTGTTGTCCAGCACTTGAATGGAGACCAATAAGCTCACCGATCCATTGAGAACTGCATCTTTTCCTTGTAATCTGGGATCGGTTTGTGGATCTCCTGTAACGTCATTCCGATTTTGGATGCGACGTTCCATCCTAATGCACTACAAATCACGCCAGCTCGGAACTTGTAGTAGCCAGTCTCGGTATCGCGCAGAGTGATACCAAAGTCTTCGGGCACGTTGTTGAGAATGACTTCGAGAGAGGGTGTGCTTTTCAGATCTGATACTGTTTCAAGAATTGCGTTGTGGAAAAGCATGTTGTCTGCGTCGAGTTTGAAGTACTGAGGGTATCTTGCACATAGAAATTGCAGACACATCTCCATGAGCTCTTTGCATGCCAGTTCAGATCCCGGAAGCATGTCAAGAACACCTTTGCCATGTTGTGCGTAGAGATCTTGACGTTGCTTAATGCGTTGTACATATGTATTCTCAAGTTCTATCCACCAATCTGTCTCCATCTTACTGATCGCTAGATTCATGTCAGCGGGTCTTAACCAACGCAGAATCGTCCTACGTACACATGGTCTGGTGATAGACCCATCGGAATGGCCTGTATGGTCTCGGAAGAGCTTTGTTGATGTCAAACTCAGGATATGCCTTAGGTAGAGGTACACCACTCAAAGCAGCATAATCTGGAAAGTCGCCTAAAGCTTTGATTTCCTCGGCAGAGAACTCGCAGGGGGTGTAAGCTTTCGGATCCGCCTGCTCAATGGCTACATCGATCGGAACACTTTTCCTTCCCTTTTCCTCAGAGTCTGCATTGAGTGTGCTTGATTTGGGGATTTTCTTGAACAATTCAGGTGCTACGGTTCCCAGGGTGAATCGCCGAGAAGGTGGGAGAACCTGGCGATATTCAGCACCGGCTGAGTTCAACGAATCTTTCTCTGGTGATAGCGATCGTGGCGGAGTTGAGGCACCCGAGGTTCTCCTACGGCGAAGATGGAGGCGTTCCAATATCAAACTTCGCTTGGGCTTACTCGATAACAGGTATACTGTGGTGTAGGCCAAAAAGCTGATGCTAAGAAGGAGTAGTAGTCTGCTATCCATGGCGTTTGAGGTCTGCGGGTCGAGCTTGTGTAGTTGGATCAATGTATGTGTGAAAAACAGAGTTGACAGAATATGCGACAACAAGCTCTCAAATGAGGAGAAAAAAATGCACTGTGAGCATGTGGGAGATGCGAGAACGACTGGAGGAGTACGAAACAGAGACAGACGATAATTACTGATATATCAAAGGAGACTACGTTGAGATGATGGCTAGCCTAGGTGAACCGTATAGCCCGAAGAGCAGGCTTGTCGTAGTGGGGTCGATCGTGTTGCATCCGAGTACTCTTGGGGAAGTATTGACCTTTCCAGAAGTGCCCGACAGTGTCGCAATCTAGTAAGTTCGATACGTGCTGTGGGGGAGCTCGAGAACACATACTACGTAGTAGACAGAGTTTGTCTCACGTAGGATGCTGAACAAGGTTATCTCGGTCCAATTGTCTGGCAATCTGTTCCGGCGCATATCGCAGACTACGCCCGATAGGGAATGTGAGTCCTGAGGAGCTCCTCTCCGTCTCTCAGTGTTGCTGCGTCGCCCATTGAAGCAAATGTTCGCAGTAATAGCGACGTTAATATTTTTGATGAAGGGTTGAGAAGAGTTTCGAAATTATGGCGAAAGGAGGACTGTGATTGATGGAGAGAGGGACTTTGAAGCAAGGGATGGCTCGAAATTTTTGCAGCTCACTTGTCACGTGTATAGCGATCATGATGAAGACACCATTGACTCCTGTCCTCCAAAGTGACCATCAAGTATGACACGACCCTTCATCGATGCTACAATCGCAAAACCAGAAGTTTCTGCCTCCATAGCTCTGTACTTCAGAAATCGGTTGCGCCGCTGCTCATGCCATGGAGTCAATTGACCAGAAATTGGACATCCCGAGCACCTCTTTGACACTCAAGATAGGGAATTTCCGATTCGAGTATATGACACACGGCACGGCTAAAGCATTCATAGCAAGACATCCAGATTCAGAGAAAATCTTGCACGGGATCTATAAAATCATGCCATTTCCACTTTCCCCCTTCTGGTGGCACCAAGAAAGAAAGAGCAGCGAACAATTCTTCTTTGGGCATGGATTTGTGTCAATACAGATTCAAGAAATTGGTCGCGCTTCCAGCCCTTTCCTTGACCATTCTTCATGATCCTAGTCATCATAACAAAGTCGTTCCCAACAAGGTCTCGCGAATCATTTGACAACTTATTTCGGTTGGTCGGCAGCAAACAAATCTCCATTAGCGTCGGGAGATGGCGTCTCTCTAGGGATATCTGAACGGATGAGAATGGAGCGCACACAACCAGCGATGTCGATGAATCTGCCAGCAAAGCAATCAGAAGCTTTGTGGGATCATGAGAAACCGTTTTAGAAAATCCTCAGGCAAGTGTCGGCTTATTATGGACAACATGTACAACTAGATTTTGCGTCGGTGAAACAGTACAGGGAAGATGGCCGAGTGGTTAAGGCGCCGTGTTTAGGTACTGAGTCTGCTCAGGCACGTATACCGCGGTTCGAAAGAGCGGGAGTTCGAACCTCCCTCTTCTCAAAAATATTTTTCTCTTTTCCATGTATTATCTTTCACATCGTTTGCCAGAAATTTGAGCAAGTTCGACTTTTTTGGTATATCGGGAGCCTGCTTTATATTAGTTTGGCTCACATTTTCTTTCTCCTTAATATATAGATCTTTATTATTCGCGATATTTAGTAAAACTTTATTTAGAGCTAAGTCTGGAATTTCGACTCCTTAGCGGAAATCCGGGTTCTAGATAGCTACTAGCTAGAGGTCGTTCTAAAACGAAGCGCTATATAATAGTTACTTAAAATATAAAGTTATAATCTTATAGCGTTACGTAAAACCGAGAATTAAGTAGTAAATAGCTGTATATATAAAATAGTATTAATAATTATAAGTCTAGCTAAAGTACCTCGTAGGTAAATTACTCGAACTTAAGCTAAATATAGGCTAAGTATAAATAAGGCTTATATCTAAATAGTAGCTTTAATAAATTAATACCTATTTTAAGAATAGTAGCTACGTAATAGTTATTATAGTAGTAGCTATATCTTAATAGTATTAGTTAGTAGAGGATAGTAGTTAATAAAGGATAGTAGTTAGGTAACTAATAACTAACTATTATTTTAATTCTAATATTCTTCTAAGCCGCCGCCCGTATAATAGTAGTAATCCTTATAATCTTATAATCTTTACCCTACTAGCTATAGCCCCCTCCGCGCCCTTACTTATTACCTATCTATCTATCTATCTCTATCTCTATCTCTATCTCTATAGCTAGTCGTAATTTAATTATATCTTAATCTATACTAGCCGCCTCCTCTACTAATACCCCTACTAATCTAGCTCCTCTCTCTATAAGTTAACCCTTTTATTAAAATCTATTAAAATCTATTAAAATCTATTAAAATCTATTAAGAACTTCTTTATCTCTAATCTTAATCCTTTACTACTCTATTCCTAATTCTTAGTTCCTAATTCTTAGGTCCTAATTTCTTATTTCTTACTCCCTTACTCCCTTACTCCCTTACTCTTAATTCTTAATTCCTAATTCCTAACTTCTAGTTCTCTATTCCCTATTCCTAATCTACAATACTGATTCTATAATACTAATTCTATAATACTAATTCTATAATACTAATTCTTTAATACTAATTCTTTAATACTAATTCTATAATACTAATTCTATATATAGAATTACGCTCGTATCTTATAGTTCTACTCTAAGATAGCTAAGCGTACTCTAAAGCGTAAAGCTAGAGCGTCCGGTACCCCTACTATTAATACTAAGAATCTAGATAATAAGAAAGATCGTCGCCTAAATAAATAAGCCTACTAGAATATACTATTATACTATTCCTAGCGAAACTATAAGAAAGCGATTAAAGACGTATACGAACTTAATAATTCCTTAGAGATCGAGCCCGTTAATCTAAATATCGATCTAGTATTATCTATAGTCCCTACTATTCTATTAGACTAATATATATTTATTTAGTAGTAAGCTCGTTCCTCCTTCTAGTTATCTATAAAAGACTAGAAGTATTATTATCTCGAAAAGATAAAGGTTAGATACTATTCGGTTTCTTCTTTACCTTAATCTTATCTTAATCTTACGATTATTATACTAATAATTATAGATCTTTATATAGGAACTAAACGCCGAGAAACCCTAGCTAAAAGATATAAATACTACCGGCGTACGCGCGGAGTTAGAGTCTACCTTCTCTCGCGATAATTTTCTCTTAGTATAGTATTATCTTAAAGATTACCTTAACTTTAACGCTACTATTACGAAGTACCGTCTCGGTACTTTCTACCTTAAGAGTATAATTCTAATCCTAATTCTATAATCCTAATTCTACGTTCCTAATTCTATAATTCTAATTCTATAGTCTTAGTTCTATAGTCTTAATTCTATAGTCTTAATTCTATAGTCTTAATTCTATAGTCTTAATTCTATAGTCTTAACTCTATAGTCTTAATTCTATAATCCTAATTCTATACTCTTAATTCCGAGATCCTAATTCTATACTCTTAATTCCGAGATCCTAATTCTATACTCTTAATTCCGAGATCCTAATTCTATACTCTTAATTCCGAGATCCTAATTCTATACTCTTAATTCCGAGATTCTAATTCTATACTCTTAATTCCGAGATCCTAATTCTATACTCTTAATTCCGAGATTCTAATTCTATACTCTTAATTCCGAGATTCTAATTCTATACTCTTAATTCCGAGATTCTAATTCCGAGATCCTAATTCTATACTCTTAATTCTATACTCTTAATTCCGAGATCCTAATTCTATACTCTTAATTCTATACTCTTAATTCCGAGATCCTAATTCTATACTCTTAATTCTATACTAATAACTCGATAGAGATATAGTATACCCTAGACTAGAAAGTCTAATTATTTTTAAATTCTAGTAGCGACGCTAATACTCGTATAAAGCTACTTTCGTAATTTAATCTCCTCCCGCTTAACGATAAATTTAAAAAAGTCGATATTAACTACTTTATAAAGAAGTAGTCTTATAGTAAGCGCTAAAAGGTAGTACTAAAGAAGAAAGACCTTTCCTGTCTTAATCGGATAAATATTAGAGATACCCCCCCTCCCTCTAATAATAAAGATAATAAGAGTTAGTTATCCTTATCCCTACTATTTATATTTACTTTTCGGGACTATAGTACTACTAGGGTAATTAATAATAAGTCCCCTTATATCCGTTCCCTACTATCTTATATTACTTACTATTCGTTCGGCGTTTAGTTATCTAGTAGCTATAGTCCGATCGACCCTACTATATAGCTATATTATATTACGTTACTTTACGTTACGTTAAGTTACTTTAATCTACGCGTAGCCCGTCGACCCTACTATATTAATACTCCGAGCGCTTTATATTTATATTTATATCCGTAGAAGCTACTATAGAAGCTTTATCTCTCCTATCTACTAATAGTATAGAATCGAGATCTAGCTATCTAAGGAATTTACTAACGTATAGCTATAGACGATATTCGTAGTACTTAAGGTCGTAATCTACGACCCTCTAAGACTCTACGTCCTAATCGCTATATTAATCTAAGATTACTAAATCTACCTATATTACTAACTCTATAGAAGGATATACCCTCCCCGTCCTAATCCTATACGATATATTTATAGACTTTATTAGGATCTTTAGGTTCTATATTATAGTCCTAGATAATATATTCTTAGACCTTAGTAGGCTCTTAAAGATAGGTACGTATATAGATATTCCTACTTTCCTACTAATCGGTACTTTATTATTAAGAACGTCTCTACGCCCCCCCCCTACCTAAGTCCGAAAGGTAGCTCTTCGGTAAGCCTAAAAGATAGAGCTATATTATCTATATCTTTTAGCTTCTTTAGATTTAATTTATTTACGTTAGAATAAATAGCTATAGGAGGGTAGAAGGTTCGCCGTACCTCTTAAATCTAGTAGAACTAGGGAGGTATACGGCTACTTAGCTTTATACGGCCTTATAGAAACTTTTTTACGCTAGGCTAAGATTTAATCTAGAACCCCCTATCTATCCCTTTTAACGATAGATATACTACCTAGTAGTATAGAATAATTTAATACGATTATATCGACTATTTAGAACTACGAGACGCGAGACCTATCTATAAGAACTATCTATAAGATCTATCTATAAGATCTATCTATAAGAACTATCTACGAGATCTATCTATAAGACCTATCTATAAGACCTATCTATAAGATCTATCTATAAGACCTATCTACGAGACCTATCTATAAGACCTATCTACGAGATATTAACTTATTTTTTCTATAGAGATATACTACTACTTCGCCCTCTCTTTCGTTAATTTAGTAAGCCGATAGTAAGGTCGTCTAAGACGTAAGATAGTAATTATAAATTATAGTAGCGTACTTAATTAGGATAGCGATATTAGCTCTACTATTAGTAAGAAGAGCTCTTATATCTATAGCGTCTATATTAGCTTCTCGTTCTTAATTATCGCTAGAAATTTATAGATAGAGCTTCTCGATAAGCCTACGTAACTATAGATAAGTTAAGGTAGTTTATAAATATATATAAAGAGATATTTAGAGGCTAAGAACTTAATTTATTTTAATAAGTCTCTATTTTATTATTATTATTATTATTATTATTATTATTATTATTATTATTATTATTATTATCCTTATCCTTATTCTCCTTCTCGATAATTCTCTTATACTTAAAGATCGTCTCTCTCTATTTCTTAGCCTCTATAGCCTTCTTCTTAAGGGCGGCTTTAAGAGCCGTATTCTCCTTCTCTAAAGCCTTTACCTTCTTAGCTAAGATCTTCTAAGGAGTAGAAGCGGCGCTAGTAATCTTATAAGTATAGCCGTCTCTTCGATAGTAAGAGTAAGCGTAGCTAGTCTAACCTATCTATATAGCTACTATAGAGTATTTTCGGTACTCCTAGCCTCTCTTTACGTATCGCTTATAAGGAGCCGATACTACCGCGCTAGAAACCTCCTTAATCCTCCTAATATAATAGTACTTTTACTTAGTACCGGTACCTAATACCTCCTACTATAACTCCGTTTTAGAGTACTATTTATCCTTCTTCTTTAGGCGCTAAAGGCTAGAGACTTCTTCTTCTTCTTTATCGTTATCGTCGTCGTCTAAGGAGGAGGAGGAGGAGGGTACCTTATAGACGTCGCGTTTTAAGTAACCGGCGATAGCCTTTTAGCGGCCTAGACCTTTATTAGCTTTAAGAAAGCCTAGCCCTTTTATAGTCTTTTAGCGGCCGTAATCTTTATTAGCCTTTATTAAGGCCTTTAAAGAGGGAGAGAGAGCGGGAGCGGGAGTAGGAGCGGTAGAGGTAGTAGCGGTAGAGGCGACGGGCGAGGTATTAATCTCTATATCCTTAGCTATAGTAGTAGGCGAGGTAGGAGGAGGGGGCGAGGAGGTAGATAATAGTAGTAGTAGTAGTAATAGGGCGTTCTTTCATAATATTAGTTATCTTAATACTAAATCTCTA